GGTTTTTAGGCCTGCCGTGCTAAAAAACAGCTCTCTGGAAGGTCAGGGGACAAGGGGAACCATCCTCGTCGGCGCCGCCGGCGCCGTCGACATCGGGACGGACCGGAGCAGAGGCCTCCCAGAGGCCCCAACGGGGCCCGGGTAGACGGGGCCCGAGGCTCACGCCGCATCGGCGACGTCGACGCGGAGAAGATCAGGCTCCACATCGCATCGCCTCGGGCGAAGCCTGCTGGTCCCAAGACGGTGTGGTGACAGACCGTCCGGTGACATCGGAATTCCCAAGGGCCTCACAGCACGGTCCGTCACCGCACCGCTCTGGGACCTCGGAGGCCCTGGCCGCCCGAGAGAGCCTCGGAGACCGACCCGAGTCCCAAAACCAGCGCGAACCCCTTTCGGAAGGCCCCGACACGGGGGCGGAGAGTAATCTGGACTAGGGACGCCCTCCCCAATCCCCCCCCCCCAAGGAAGCCTCGGCTCCCCAATCGGAAGGCCTGGAGACGGGGGGGAATAATAACCTGGATCAGGCACGCCCTCCCCCCCCCCCCTGAGGAAACCTCGGCTCCCCAGTGAAAGGCCTGGACACGGGAGGGGGGTAGTAACCTGGACTAGGGACGCCCTCCCCAGCCCCGCCGAGAAGAAACCTCGGCTGCCCAATCGGAAAAGGCCTGGAGAGGGGGAGGGGCAAGAGAGCCCAGAAGCGAATCGATAGGACAGATCGGCGATCGACATAAATCGGATATGCGGAAATCGGCAGCCGAACCGGGAAAAGTCGAATCGGCAGAAATCCGTAGCCTAAAAGGCCTCCATTGGGAAATCGGATCGACATCGGAATCCGAAGTCGTATCGAATCGGAATCGGAAGTAATGGCAATCGAATCGAATCGAATCGGAGGCATCGAAATGAGCCCCGGGGGGGGTAGCAGCCTGGACCAGGCACGCCCTCCCCACCCCTGCTGCCAAAGAAAAAGCTCGGCTTCGCTGGCCGACCTGCCCCTCCCCCTGATAGGTGCCGTGCCTCTCTGTCTCTCTCTCTCTCTCTCTCTTTCTCCGCCCCTCCGCTCCATTTTTCTCCCCCTCCGTCGGACCACCTGTGCTGCTGCTCTTCTCCTCCTCCTCCTCCTCCTCCTCCTCCCCTCATCCCTCCTCTCCTCCTCCTCCTCCTCCTCCTCCTCCTCCTCCTCCTCCTCCTCCTCCTCCTCCCCCCCCCTCACCCCCCCCCCCCCCTCCCCCTCCCCCTCCCCCCCCTCCTCCTCCTCGTCCTCCTCCTCCTCCTCCTCTCCATTCCTTTTCCTTATAACTGACTTCTCCTTGTCGCACCCCGAAGCCAGCTTTCAGGGCGGGCCGGGCATTTCGCCTGACACTTCCTCACCCTTTATGACTCTGAAGCTTAAAAAGTGACAGCAGTTTCGCAGATGGAGGGCGGGTGGTTTTCAAAATGTGGCTCTCGCCTTAGCGCCGCGCGCATTCGTCTTAAACAATTGCAAGAGCTTCACGGATTGAGGGCGGCCCGTTTTCAAAATGTGGCTCGCGCCTTAGCACCCCGCCCGCACATTTTGTTTTTTCCCAAACATGCAAGAGCTTCACGGATTGAGTGCGGGTGGTTTTCAAAACGTGGCTCTCGCCTTAGCGCCGCGCGCATTCGTTTTCACCATGTGCCAAGAGCTCCACGGTTTGAGGGCGGGTCGTTTTCAAAATGTGGCTCTCGCCTTAGCGCCGCGCACATTTGTTTTAAACCATTGCAAGAGTTTCACGGATTGCGGGCGGGTCGTTTTCAAAATGTTGCCCTCGCCGTGGCGCCGCGCACATTCGTTTTTAAATATGTGTTCACGGATTGTGGGCGGGTGGTTTTCAAAACGTGGCTCTCGCCTTAGCGCCGCACACATTCGTTTTCACCATGTGCCAAGAGTTCCACGGATTGAGGGCGGGTCGTTTTCAACATGTGGCTCTCGCCTTAGTGTCGCGCACATTTGTTTTAAATATCCGCAGGGGTTTCACGGACTCCCATGATCAACGTACCAGAAATGGTGTTTTGGAAGGATTCAGGATTATGGGGGTGCAACAATTATGTTGATTCGCGGCGTCGATATCCCGAAATGGTGTTCTGGCACGATTCCGGATCGTCAAGACGCAGCATCGAGGTTGATCCGTGACGTTGAAATGCCGAGAACAATGTTCTGGCATGCTTCAGGGCCTTCAAACGAATGTCTTCCAACGAGGCAATTCCCTCAATGGAAATGAATGGAAATGAACCGTTGTAGGGGCCTATGAAGAGGAAGCTTGGAGGGAGGGTTAATTCCAACATCGTTGATGACTCTTGGGTTTACACTGGTCCTCCTTCTCCTTCTCCTCCTCCTCCTCCTCCTCCTCCTCCTCCTCCTCCTCGTCTCTCTCCCTCTCGAACTCCGCAGCAGCCATCCCCATCTAGAGGGCGTAAGTATGCTGAATAAGCAAACTCCTCATCTGCCATGTCCAGGTCGGGAAGATTCTGACGATGCTGAAGTAAAGGGGGGGGGTCGCCGAATCAGCTGCATGCAGCCTGGCTTTCCAGGTGCCTCCCGGCGCCGCAGGCGCAAGTGTGTCAGGGGAGGCACCTGGCGGCGGGGCCAACACCAGCTGCAGGCAGCCAATCTCGTAACCACCCCTTTCCCTACCCCCATGCCGTTCGACTCGAGAGATGCCTCAGTAAGGCTGGCGGCGCGCCCAAGTATGGAGGGCGGGCCCCCTCAGAAGGCTCGGCAGGGCCCCGTTGTTCGGAGAAGTAGTCTGGGCCTCCCACGAAGACGGAGGCGGCTTCTCAGAAGGCCGGGGGGCTTCTCAGAAACCCCGCCGCCTTATGAGAAGACCTGCCCTCTCTCGCTTGTCCCAGTGGGCGCGCCGCGGCTACAGTCAGCCCGTACGATGAGGACGCACGACCAGGATGCAAGGGCACTGGGATGCCATGCCGACACTTTGCGAGCGGGGCGCGACCAGCAAAAGCGGTCAACGATGGGCCGAAGGGGAAGGATGCAAGGGGAACCTTGGGAAGTTGCCCGCCAATGAGGAGGCTGGGAGGCAGTGGAGGCAGAGACAGAGGAGGCCCTCCAGACTCCAGGCTGATCTCGGGCTCTGGGAAGGTCCAGGCGGGGCTCCGCTAAGATATGCTTCCCCCTCCGCCCCCCCCCCCTGCCCCTCTTTCCCCTCCATCCCCCCTCCCGTCCTCTGTCCCCCTGACCTCCCCATGGTGAGGCGGGGGGACGGGGCTGGGGGGGGAACACGGAGCTGCAATGCGCAGCGCAACGCCGACAGATCGACGAGAGGCCCCCGAGATCGAACTTGCACGCTCCTGGGCGGGGTGGGCCATCAGTCCCCTCCCGAGGGCAGGGCCTCGATGATCGGCCACGCGCAGCAGGGGGAGGAGGAGGAGGAGGAGGAGGAGGAGGAGGAGGAGGAGGAGGAGGAGGAGGAGGAGGAGGAGGAGGAGGAGGAGGCGGAGGAGAAGGAGGAGGAGGCGGAGGAGGAGGAGGCGGAGGAGGAGGAGGAGAAGGAGGAGGAGGCGGAGGCGGAGGCGGAGGGGGAGGAGGACTATCGGCGAGAAATGGACAACTGGGGGTCCACGCGTCCCCTCCCGGAGCCAAGCCTGGGCCTCACCCCGAGCCTCCGGCGGCTGCTCGGGGCGATCTGGGCCCCCCCCCCCCCGACGACGCCCTTCGGCGACGCGCGGCTGCTGGAAAGCGTCCCGAGGCTCATGCTGCGCCCATCGCACTCGCGAAGCACATCCCAGAAATCATTTCGGGCACCCAGAAAAGTACCGAAACAGTGTCGAACGAGATCTGGGCCCCCCCCCGACGCCCTTCGGCGATGCGCGGCTGCTGGAAAGCATCCCGAGGCTTACGTTGCGCCCATCGCACTGGCGAAGCACATCCCAGAAATCATCTCGAGCACCCAGAAAGGTACCGAAACGGTGTCGAGCGAGTATCGCCGCCCAGGGCCCGACGCGTGAAAGCCCGCAAGTTTCGAAGTTTCTCTGATGCGCGAAAAATCCTTCTTGGTGATCCAGGCTACAGCAGGTCGGAACAGCATGACCCGAGGCCGGAGCACCTGCAGCAGCGGAGGCGGCGGTCGAAAGCCCAGCGAGCTGCTGCGGGCCCCCCCTCTCTGCGAGCCTGCCACCCCCCCGCCCTGGCACTGCCCGGGCGGCGTACCGCCGCCCCTCGGCGGCGCGCCACCGGGGGCGAAGCGAGAGAGGGGGGGCAGGCCTTCTCCGAAGGCGGCGGGGCTTCCCAGAAGCCCTCTGGCTCTCCGAGAAGCCGCCTCCGTCTGCGGAGAAGGCGCAGACAACTCCGCAAATCGGGGGCCTTCCGAACCTGCCGAGAAGACCGGACACCCCCAGTGAGGTCTGTACAACTTGTGGGAAGGAGGAGGAGGAGGAGGAGGAGGAGGAGGAGGAGGAGGAGGAGGAGGAGGAGGAGGAGGAGGAGGAGGAGGAGGAGGAGGAGGAGGAGGAGGGGACGGAAGGAGGAGGTCAGGACACCGGGAGGGAGGATGCGCGCGGGGAACAGATCGGAGCGGCAGGAGGGCAGCGAGCGACGCTCCGAGGTGGGGGGGGGGGTGGGGGGGGGGTGGAGCTGGCGGGGGAGGATGGTCTGAGAGGGAGCCCCTCCCCGGCTCGCCGCCGAGCCTCTGCCAGCGCGGGGGCTGGGAGGAGGAGGATGTAGGAGGAAGAGGCGGAGGAGGAGGAGAAGGAGGGGGAGGCCGGGGAGGAGGAGGAGGAGGAGGAGGAGGAGAGATGAGGAGGGGGAGAAGGGGGGGAGGAGTAGGAAGAGAAGGAGGAGGAGGCGCGGGGGAGGAGGAGGAGGAGGAGATGAGAAGGTGATGATGTGAGGAGGAGTAGGAGGAAGAGGAGGGGAGGAGGGGAGGAGGCGGAGCAGCGGGATGAGGATGATGATGATGATGAGAGGAGGAAGAAGGAGGAAAGAGGAGGAGGAGGATGGAGGAGGAAGAGGAGGAGGAGGGGGAGGGCGCCTGCAGTGTGGCCCACGCGTGCGCCTCCAGGGTCCACGGCTCCAACAGCGGAGACAAGCCCTCCATGCGGAGGCGGAACACCGTGGGCGCCTCGGCCTATGGCGGCGGCAGCGCGGCGAGCTATGGAAGGCCCCTTTGGGCCCGGGAACGCCCTGCGATTATTATCACTTCAAATACAGCAACAACTAGTAGTAGTAGTAGTAGTAGTAGTAGTAATAGTAGTAGTAGTAGTCGTAGTAGTAGTAGTATTAAAAAAACGGGATACGTAGTATAGTCATTAGTAGTCCTACTACTACTACTACTAACTTGCTGCTACTGCTACTGGCTACTGATGCTAACTACTACCTACTACTACTACGACTACTACTACTACTACTACTTCTACTACTACTACTACTACTACTACGACTACGACTACGACTACGACTACGACTACTACTACGACTACGACTACGACTCGACTACGACTACGACTACGACTACGACTACGACGACTACTACTACTACTACTACTACTACTACTACTACTACTACTACTACTACTACTACTACTACTACTACTACTACTACTAGAACTACTACTACTACTACTACTACTACTACTACTACTACTACTACTACTACTACTACTACTACTACTACTACTACTACTACTACTACTACTAACTACTAACTACTAACTACTAACTACTACTACTACTACTACTACTACTACTACTACTACTACTACTACTACTACTACTACTACTACTACTACTACTACTACGTTGACTACTACTACTCCTACTGCCACGACGGACACAAGAACTGTTACTACCACTGCTACTACAGCTTATCCTACTACTACTGCTAATCCTACTACTACTACTGCTCGAACTCCTACTCCTACTCCTACTGCTATCCTTATTCCTTATTAGAATATACTCCTACTCCCCCCTCAGGCCGGCAGATAGGGGCCCCATCCGGGTGGTCCCATCCTAACATGTAAACAACAATACAAAATCAACATTGTTCTTATTTTTTCCTCTCGACATGGACGTCCTGTCGTCCACGGCGATAACCCATTGCAAAAAATACTACAAAGAGCACACGCGCGCGTTCATGTCAGAATCCTACCGAACACCGTCTGTTTGCAAGCATTTCAACATAAAAACATCAAAAACCCATTGTTTTTTTTTCACACAAATTCTACACATTTCCTGCCCGGGCTCTCTTGCTGAAATCATAGGAAAACCATAGGAATCTTAAGAATTCGGTCAAATCCAACGATTTCACGCCATCGCGCGGTGCACTCGCGATGCTCTGTCATGCACCCAGGCCGCGAATCCTGTGCAAAAGATACCACGCGGGCGACATGCGCGCGCGTCGCCGCGAGCGCATGCTCAAATCCTTCTAGAGTCGTCGTCGTCATTAGCACCGTCGCATGGACGTCCTGTCGTCCACGTCGCAAACTCATGGCAAGAATGGGACCCGGCTTACCGGGCCGTTCTCGACACGGCCACCTCTGGCTTCCTGCGGTGTACCGGGCCATTCTCGACTCGTCTGGCAATGCGTGCGCGGCATTCAACACGCGCTCGCCAAATCCCGTCGGCAACCGCCATCGCGGCCGCATCAGCTGTACCAAACCGGCTGGCCGGTGTGACTTCGGCCCCCAGTTGTGCCATCTTTGCTTCTTATGTTGTGGGAGGGCGGGTGGGACTGGGCATGCCATGCTTGACTCGCTCGAGCTGGCTAGCTTGACTCCTACTCCTACTCCTATCCTTATTCCTTATTAGAATATACTCCTACTCCCCCCCCAGGCCGGCAGATAGGGGCCGCATCCGGGTGGTCCCATCCTAACCTGTAAAAACAATACAAAATCAACATGTTTCTTATTTTTTCCTCTCGACATGGACGTCCTGTCGTCCACGGCGATAATCCATTGCAAAAAATACCACAAAGAGCACACGCGCGCGTTCATGTCAGAATCCTACCGAACACTGTGTGTTTGCAAGCATTTCAATATAAAAACATCAAAATCCCAATGCTTTTCACAAAAGTTGTACAAATTTCCCGCCCGGGCTCTCTTGCTGAAATCATAGGAAAACCATAGGAATCTTAAGAATTCGGTCAAATCCAGCGATTTCACGTCATCGCGCGGTGCACTCGCGATGCTCTGTCATGCACCCAGGCCGCGAATCCTGTGCAAAAAAAACACAAAGAGCACACTCGCGCGTTCATGTCAGAATCCTACCGAACACCGTGTGTTTGCAAGCATCTCAACATAAAAACATCAAAAACCCAATGCTTTTCGGGTCGAATGTGCCAGAAACCAGGAGGTGTGGCTGGGGCCTATGCCAGTTGGACCCCGACACTTTCTTGCCGAAGCGGGCGATTTTCGGCCCATTGCCGTATCTAATCCAGACAGTCGGCCGTGCTGAAAGATATGCTATACGAATGGGGCTGGTTGTTCATCCAAACCACGAGGTTTTCGTGAGCGATTTACTCTCTTTGGTGGAGGAGGGGAATACTTGGGTGGACGAGCTTCAGCACGGCCGAAAGCAGCATGCACGAGTGTGGAGAGATATTTTTATTGCGGCTGAGAAGCGGGACAAGAAGCTGCCGCCTCCAGCATTCCAGTGGACCCCTGCGCATCGAGACATCGAAGCTGTGGTGTTGGGCGGGGCTGGTACCTTGGAAATTCAAGATTGGCTCGGCAATGCCTGGGCGGATTTTTTCGCAAGAGTCGGCGCTGCTCAACATGCTGTCGCAAAGGTGACGACTGAGAGTGTGATGACCGCCCTGAAAGAGCACCGACAGGTTCTTCAGTATGTGTCCTGGGGAATCCAGAGGGTGGTGGAGTCTCAGAAGTACGGCCGTGATGTGTTTCCAGGGCCCCGTCCAGTGGAGATTCGTGCGCCTGTGCTCTTTCAAAAAGCGGATGATCATGTCTTGTACAAAAACGTCAAGACGGGCGTTTTCAAGTGTAGAATGTGTGGGGCCTCCGCCCGCACGCCTGCATCCTTCGACAATCTGCGTGTTGGTGGTGGTCGGAAGTGTGCGCCCAGCAAGGTCACCCAGGCCCTCACAAATGAGTTCTTCAGGACGTCCCTCGATGAGTGGGAGAAGCCAGTGAGTGATGAGCGCGTTGCCGCTGCTTTAGATGCTGCTGCCGCCTTGGAGCCCCAAGGAGCCCCCGCGGAGGCCGAAGGAGGCCCCTCCCAGCCACCTGTGCTCGACGGGGCCTCAGGGGATGATATAGACCCCCTCATCCTGGAGTGCGGGACTCTTGGGCACGACGTTTTTCGTGCTAATTCAATGTATTGCTGCCGTCGTTGTGCAGGGCATTGTTCAGTGTTGCAGGTTAATAGTCTCAGGAAGCTGAAGCGTGAGTGTGTAGGCCTCTCGGACAACCTCAGCACTCGGAGGAGTCAGCTCAGGGCGATCGACAGGATCAGCCGTGGGCTCGAGCCACGACAGCGAGGAGGGGACCCCAAGCCCCCGCCATAGGCTGTCCTTGGGCTGTGCCCCCTGGATCCTGGCGTGTGCGGTCCTGGGGCCCCTCGCTTTTCCTGGTGTGGCTTTGTTTTTGTTTGTCCCCAGTTTTGTGCTGAGGTATGTCAGTCCTGCTGGCGTACTCTTGGTTGCCTGCACCCTGCACTACTCCTACTCCTACTCCTACTCCTACTCCTACTCCTACTCCTACTCCTACTACTACTACTACTACTACTACTACTACTACTACTACTACTACTACTACTACTACTCACACTCGTACTCATACACGAATTTGTACTCGTACTCGTACTTGCTCGTAGTAGTAGAAGTAGTAGTAGTAGTAGTAGTAGTAGTAGTAGTAGTAGTAGCAGTAGTAGTAGTAGTA